GTATGCAGAACGTTATTCAGCCACAGAAAGGAAGGAGCCCTGACACACAGTTCCATACTTCCACAGGGATGAGCCTCAAACTGTTCCCTGAAAGAAGCAGACACAGAGCCTACACTGTGTGCTTCTGTTTATTATGAAATATCCGTAACAGAAAGGCTACTGTGTGCTTGCAGCTATAGAAGCTGAAATTGGTGTGCATGGGACAGGTGCATGTGCCCACCGTCAGCATGGACGTGGGGTGCAGGGGCTGTGTTGACACAAGAACCCACCATCCTACAGGTGAACCACCACAGAACACGGGACCAATGAATGGGGGCTACTTGGGGTGTCATCTTCTTAAGACTTTTAGTGTATTTGACTTTTTAATTTACTTAAATATATTATTTTGGCAAAAAATATATATAAACCTCAATCTAGCAGAACAATTTGCTTCTTTTTATTCTTTCTTGGAGGAAAAAATATTAAGTCTACAACACGATATCACTAAATTATAAAATTGAAATATTTTATCTCTGAAGACTTAATACAAAGTTTGGATCTGAGAGAAGCCTTTGTTCATGCAAGGGCCTCAATCCTGGTTCAGGGGCCCATGTTTTGCTGCTCCTTAAATGGTATCACCAGTGGAGGGCTGAGCATGTTGGCACTTAAAGCACCATCTGTCTGATAGCCGTTTCTAATTGAACACTGCACATTCCAACATACTGCAAATTGATTTTAAATTAGAGGGAGATCTGGTAAAACAAAGAGCAATGCAAACTGGATTAACTTGCTCCACATTCTGCCCCCACCAACGGAGAAACCAGTACTATTCCCTCCAAGAAAGTGTCATGTTCAGATCTTCAAAGGAAACCCAGAAAATACACACAGCTTGTAAAAAGTTCAACCAGTCAATGCGAGCCCAGAGCCCGCTGCTGGTGGAGATGGGGGACGCGGGGCCCCAGGGCGCACCAGCCTCCCCCTCCCCCCCCCGGAATGCAGGCTCCACTGTCCCCCGCTTCCAAAGGTGGCACTGCATCTGCTAATACAGGCATCCCATCACTCCAGAACCTTAAAATGCACTCTTTAAGGTTTTCAGTGCAGGTTATACATCAGAGAAAGAGGGCCATTTTTGTTGTTGACTTTAAATGAGACTGGGATGGAGTGGAGGCATTGGTTCTGACATAAGGAAAGGACATTTAGTAGAAAAAGAACAGGTGATAGTTCTACACGAAGATGTTTTCATACGGGTGTATCGTGTGTGTTTCTCAGGCTGTTAAATTTTATTGTCAAGTTGATACAGTTTTGGAATATAGGTGAGGTTCGGTGGGGTGAGGTCCCAAGCCAACGACCAAGAAAGAATTCTTGAGGCCTCTTTGGTGCAAAATGGTGGTTTATTAAAGCCTGGGGACAGAATCCGTGGGCAGGAAGAGCTGCTGCCCTGTGGTCTTGAGGAGTGGCCTGTTACATACTCAGGAGCTGGGGAGGTGAGGACAAAGGGGGTGTCCAGAAGGACTGTCATATGCTAAAGACTCCCAGGATGCTGAAGGCCTGGTTGTTGTCAAGCCAAGGTTGTTTTCCCCTCTAAGGAGGCACGAACATGAAGACAGTTGGGAGTTTCCTGGAGGAATGGTGCATTCCTCCTACCACACGTCCTTGTCAATGGGCTGGTTTAGAAGAAATTTGATTTTATTTCTTCTTTCTTCTATTTTATTTACATTTCCTTCCGCCTCAGCCTCCCTCAATTTTAGGGAGGGGAGGGTGATGTTAGGCCTTCAGGAAACTGAGTATGGGTCTCTGGAAGTTGGGTTATTGATAAGAAAGCTTCTTCCTTGTAAATCACTAGGACATTTGTAAACTGAGGGAGACTCAGGTCTTGCAGGATTGTGATCTCTATAAATTAACTATTTGTTTTTCCTTTAGGGCAGCCAGGATTGCCTGAGCAATGTCACATCTATCCCTAAAGAGGGGTGTGTGTGTAGGGTACCAGCTTCGGCTTCGTCCTCAGTTTGCCTTCTGCTCCCTCATCAAAGTGTAATCTGACGGGATTACATTTCTATAAATATAAAATAATAATCTTGTCTTATTTTCGATTTCCACATGGAAGTGTTCTCTTTTCCCACATGGAGTTTTATTTACAATTTAAAAATATATTTTCTTCCAATTTATAGTGAGTGATTTTAAAATGTAAGCTGATAACACACAATATGTAAAATTTATAATGTCATGACTTATATGTTTAATAGTTTACCCCATTGCCTCATTTGGACATTATAACATTTGCTTATTTGCAAAATAAGCAAAACCTTTTAGTGTTAGCATGACAGACATTGTCGTATTCCAGGAGAGGTCTTCTTGGATTCTGTAGATGTTTCCACAGTTCCTGAATTCAGGGGCATGGTCAGCCCTGGCTTCACTCCCCCTGTGATGCTGGGGCACCTCCACGAGACACTTGTCATCAGCATTCAGATTTATTTTCAAAGGTGGCACAGCATCTGCTAATACAGGTATCCCATAACTCCCCAATTTCCCAGTATTGCGCCCTGCCCAGCGGTGGAGATCTCAGCCTCACCAACCCTTGACAGGACAGTGACTTGGGGGACTTTGGCTTATTGGAAAAGAAAGTTTGAGATTTATAGGAAAAAATGAGTAAAAAAGTATGGAGAATTCACATATACCCACCGCCCATCCCCAATTTCCCCATTATTAGTATATAGCATTACTGTGATACATTTATTATAAGTTGTGAGCCAACGTGGATACATTATTAGTGACTAAAGTCCAGAGTTTGCATGCGGATGCCTCTGGATGTGCACACCATCAGTACTGATGATGAGGGAACAGAAAGCAAGCTGAGGACAAAGCAGAAGCTACCACCCCACAACCCTCACCCCCTACATGGGATACATGTGACATTCTTCAGGCACTCCTGGGGGCCCTAAAGCTAAGGAAAGGAAAAACAGTTAACTTATAGAGATCACAATCCTGCAAGACATGAGTCTCCCTCAGTTTACAAATGTCTTAGCAATCTACAAAAACAAAGCATTTCTATCAATAACCTAGCTTCCAGAAGGAAATGTAGATACAATTAAGTGTCCTTATAACCTGCAGTCCATTGACAGATCCTTAAAGTGGACAGAGTATGATGTTCCTCCAGGAAGCTTCCAACTATCTCACTGTTAATGCCTTACTAGAGGGAGAAGCAACCTTAACTTGACAATGGCACGGCCTCCGGTATCCTGTGAGTCTTCTTCAGCATATGAAAGTTCTTTTGGAAACCTCCCTTTTCCTAACCTCCCCCAACCATAGTATATAATCAGCCGCCCCTCACAACCCCCGGGGCAGCAGCTCTTTCTGCCCACAGGTCCCTGTCCCCGGGCTTTAATAAACCACCATTTTGCACCAAAGACGTCTCAAGAACTCTTTCTTGGTCATTGGTTCCGGACTTCATCCCACTGAACCTCCCCTGTATTCCAAAACCCCATCACTGACAGATGTGCAAGGGCACATCCCCACCCTCGCGGTATCACATGGACTGGCCTCACTGCCCTAAGAACCCTCTGTGCTCTGTCCAACCCTCCTCTCCATGACCTTTGACAACTGCCCATCATTTCACCGTCTCCATAGTTTTGCCTTTTCCAGAACATCACAGAGTTGGGATCATACAGTATGCAGACTTCAGACTGGCTTCTTTCACTTAGTAATATGCACTGAAGCCTCCTCGGGTCTTTGCACGGCTTGATAGCTCATTTTTCTTAACACTGAATAATATGCCATTGTCTGAATAGGCCACAGTATATCCATTCACCTCCTGAGGAACATCTTGGTTGCTTCCAAGTCTTAAAATTATGAGTAAAGCTGCTGTAAACATCCGTGTGCAGGTCTTTGACTGGACGTCATTATTCAGCTCACTCGGGCAAATACCAAGGACTGAGATTCCTGGATCACAGGGTAAGAGTATGTTTCATTCTGTAAGAAACCATCGAACCTGTTTCCCACCGTGGCTGCCGCTCCCCCACCCTCACCAGCAGGCGGTGCTGGTCCCGCTCTGGCCCTTCCAATCACGGGCAGCGGGACCTCATTGTTTTAATTTGCATTTCCCTGATGGCACATGGTGTTGAGTACCTTTTCACACATTTATTTGCCATCTGTACATTTTGGTGAGGTGTCTGTTTAGATATTTTGCCCATTTCTTAATTGGGTTGCTTTCTTATTGAATTATAAACACTCATATTTTAGTTTGAAGAGCTCTTTGTGTATTTTGTTACCAGTTCTTTATCAGATTGTGTTTAGCAGGTTTTCTCTTACTCAGTGGCTTGTCTTCCCATTGTCTTCATCTTTTAGTGCCATTTTGAAAGTTGGGTGTGTGTTAAGGACAGTAAGGAAGGCTAGAACCGCAGACACCATCCAGGAAGACAGGTGCAGGGGAAGGGGTCCCCTCCTGTCTTGCAGACGGTGGTGGAGGGACTGAGAGAAGAGTTCTTATCTCTTGTGTCTCAGCTCTTTCCCTATGGGAGATTCTCTGTGGCTGAAGAATATTTTGTGCTCGAAGGCCTAACATTACAATTTACTTCAAACACTTACCTTTTCGGTTCTTGAGTTACTTCAGCAGTGGCAGTTGCTTAGGGAGAGCCCCGGCGGCAGCCACCTTCTCTCTGCTTGCCCAGGAAGTGAGTGAGCTTGTGGGCTCAGCCTTCAGCTCTGAAGGTTCCCATGGCATTGGATGGAGGCACCTGAACTGTTGAATTCCTACAGATATCTGTGTTTGGGGTTGTTTACAACATTCAGAGCATTTTACTGAGCTGGAGAATGTTGTGTCTTTTCCACCTGGGGACCCCCTAGGCGACCAGTGCATGGACAGCCTGAAGGAAAGCGTGGGTGAAATCCAGCCCTTCGAGAGACAAGCTGGGCACCCCTAGGGTCACATGGAAGGGGAGGCTTCAGAAGGGAAGATGGGGGCCTTCCTGGCCTGCACTCCCAGCACCAAAGGCCAACGCTAGGGTGGGGACTGGAGCCTGGGGGCGATGGTGGTGCAGACGGACGGCAGCCAAGGGGGCTCGGGGGCTGCATCCAGGGAGGGGCTTGACCCAGGGTCCCACCATGGACTGCCAACCGATGCTCAGGAGGGTGAGTGTGGCCAATTCCGCTCCCTTCGATGGGATGGAGGTTTGAGATCAATACTGATGGACTGTAGGAAGGAAATGGCTGGAAGCATGCTGACTCCGGCACATCTGAGTGTGAAGCAAAGGGCACATGTGGGTGACTTAGGACTCTTTATGGCAGTTCTCAGACCCCCCCTTCCCCTTGTGTGCCATGGGGCCTCCCCAGCTCTTCCTCCCAGTGGCCTCTTGACGCCCTGTTGCCTCCCCCAGACACCTCCCGACCGGCAGGTCCCTCCGCACAGACATTCCCCACCGCATCCCTCTCCTGCGCGCATCTTTAGTGGTCTCGCGTCTGCCTCCCCAGCTAGACACACAGCAGGCTGAGTTTTTGCTCACGCTCCATGGTTTCGGCAGCCTGTGTGCAGTCATGAGAGTCCAGAGCAAATTCTGAGTGGGTTCCCAGTTCTCTGCCTCAAAGAAAAAACACACACCTAATGTCACATGCTGCAACTTGACATTTACTGGGCGCTTACTCCAACAGCCAATGCTTCATTTTTAGATAACTTAGGGTCACACTTGGAGAATACATTAATGATACCAATGACCCCACAATCCTTTCTCAGAGATCTTTCTTCACCCAGGGTGGCATCTGAGGGCGTTGCTTTAGTGTTTCTTTCTGGCCATCCCCAGAATGTTCCTTGCTTTAGAAAAACAATAAACCAAATATATGTTAGAGTGTGCAGTGGGCACATTAATTATGCATTATTGTTTTACTAAAGACTCGCCCATTTTTAAAATTTAAATGATCCCAAACAAAGCTCTGAACAATGAAATAAGCACCCGGGCTCTACAGAGTGTTTTAGATGCTGTGGACGTGGCTCCTGCAGGCTGGTCTCAGACCCTCTGTTGGATGTTCCTGTTCCACCCAATCCTGGAAACGTTGGGAGGGGCTGCTGAAACTGGTGTTCCAAGGTTGAAGGCAGCGTCAAGAACCTTCTGGATGTTAAAGAACCTGATAGCAAAGCTCCACAGAAACCACAAAGGGCTTTTGATCAATTCCTAGTGGGAGGTCGGTGTTCAGAGAAGGGAGAGACCCCAAGCCGCTCAGAAGGGCAGACTTCGTTCACCTGCTCAGTTTAGGGAGCAGGGGACTTCCGCAGCCTCCTCTCTGCAGACCCAGGCCTCTCCCTTCCTGCAGAACCGGGGTGGGCCCCAGTTTGTCTTACTGACACTCTCTTAAGTAACACTTCACTTTTGCAATAGGCATTTGCAACTCAATCAGTCTAGAAACACATTTTTAAGAAAAGTCTCTCCACAAACACTAAAAATTGCTTTCAGTCATTATATAAATATCTCATCCACTCAAGACATAACTCCTCGGCATTTAAGTAAAAATGATAAACTGGGGACACCTGGGTGGCTCAGTCGGTTAAGCGTTTGCCTTCGGCTCAGGTCATGATCCCAGGGTCCTGGGATCAAGTCCAACATCGGTCTCCCTGCTCAGCGGGGAGTCTGCTTCTCCCTCTGCCGCTCCCCCTGCTTGTGCTCGCTCTCTCTCTCTGTCAAATAAATAAATAAAATCTTTAAAAATAAAAAAATTTAAATGATTAAAATAAAAATATTTGGTCTTACAACCCTATTCCTTTGTAACTCTATTTGAATTATGTAACAAGCAGCCACAATAAAATAAAAATATTACTTATTTCTGTTAACTAGAGAAGCAAGAACGTTCAGTGTTTTTGACAGTTTTTCAAGTAGGAAAAAGTACAACATTCTACTATTTACATTGGAGTAAGCGCCCAGTAAAAAGCACAACATTATACTATTTTATTACTTATTTCTGTTAACTAGAGAAGCAAGAACATTCAGTGTTTTTGACAGTTTTTCAAGTAGGAAAAATTACAACATTCTATTTGTATTTAAAAGTACAACACACTACTATTGTCACTTTTCAGTGCTCTAGACACAGATGCTGTCTGTAGGTTTTACTTTCTCTCGTGAGTTAAATCAACATTTTACAATAGTTTGGGTTGAAAAAATATTAACAACTTGCATCTCTAGAGCTTTAAATTCCAAAATTCTGATCAATCCAGCGCATGGTATTAGCAAAGCAACTAACTTTGCTAATTTTGATTTAAATGTTACAGGTTGGCAGGAGAAATTATAACAATACAAAATTTACTTTAGGTATTCATTTGTTCTAAGGGACTTTGAGTCTCTCAGAAAGTAAAATTAAACACTGCACAAACTTCAGCCCCCAGAGGCAGACGACCACAGCCACCAGGGGGTTTTGCCACCCTCGGGTCTCGCGGAGGATGGTTGGCAGGCAGTGGAGTCCCTGCATGGACCGCCAGCCCTTCTGGACAGACGTCACACTGAGCCTGCGTGAGCTCTTCAAATGCCTGAACTTGGAAATGCATGCTTTGTATCTGAGTGTAGAATTCTCAAGTATTTATTGTCAATTCAATTTTCCTATGATAGGAAACATGTTCCTCTGAATGATCTCTTTCTTTAATTGTTTGATGAGTCCAAGATTTAAATACTGCAAATGTCTGCTACTGGCATTTTTCTTAGCTGAACATCATGAAGCTTCATAATTTCAACAGTGAAGCTTCTAATTTTTTAAAAATCCTTTAATACCTGACTACAATTAACACAATCATAGATTTTCTTTTGTAACAATAACTAAACTTTAAAGAAAAACAGCAATCACCTGTGTCACATCCCATCCTGGGGACTGAGGCACGGGCAGGGGCCCCACTTTCCTTCCCAGGGGAAGGGGTGTCCAGTGCAGGAGGTCTGCTCCGGACTCTCAGTCCTGCAGTGAGGTTTCAGGTACGTCCACAGGTAGTTTATATGCGATTGCATTTTACATTACTTGTGATAAGGAAAAATAAGGTAATACCAACCCGTCTTCCCTTCCCCAAAGAGATGAGGTAGTTTTTTCTTTGAGATGTCCTTCGTAATATTAGGAAAACATCTTTTCTGGAACTCATGTAGTTGATTCAAATGAACTTGTCAATCTCTGATTTGCTTTGGGAATGTAAGGAAATAGGTTTCTCCTCCCTTCTCCCATGGCACGTTGTAAGCATTTAATAAATGTCAGCAGATTCCTGAGACCAGAGATCAGCAGAAGCATGTGGGGTGACCTTCCTCAGGGGTGTTTTTGTCAAGACTTTGCCTTGGACTGGAGGGCTCCAAAATCCATCTTCCATCTCAATGTCTGTGAGTCTATGAAAGATAGAAAGTCAGCACAAGTGAATGAGTGAGTGTGTGTGCGTGTGCCCACTGAACATGTGTGTGTGGATGTGTGTGTGTGAATGTGGGTGAGTGTGCATGTGTATGGATGTGTGTGCACACGTGTGAATGCATGCATGTGAGTGTGGGTGCTTGCCTAAGTGTGGACGTGTGCCTGTGTGCGTGAATGACCTGAGATGTTTTCTCACATTGTAGGAGAAGTAAGATTGATTGCCCAGGTGTGGTCCAGGTGTGGTCCAGGTGTGGTCCAGGTGTTGCCCATGGAATGATGTGTGCAGAGTCCTCCTGTGTAAAGATAGACTGCGTTTTACAAAATGCACTGAGAAGTCAACCAGTGTCCCCACAGAATGTCCACTGATTGATCTGCTTTCCTTGGTGGGAAAGGCCAGCATGAGGGCCCCTCAGAGAGCCAGAGGGCCAGTCCCTGGGCTTTTCTCTCCATTGTTGCTCATTCCCTGGGGGCTTAGGGAAGAACTCAAATCTTTCCACATCTGCACAGATCACTGTGTTTCACTAACAGTAATTTCAGTCATCAGGGAATGTAATGGAATGACAAAGCCATTTGCTGTTCAGAAGCAAGAATTAAGTGCATCCAAATTTTAGACAGAAGATGCTGAGATAAACATTGAGAGGGGTGTGTTGCTGAGTGAGAAAATAAAAAGGTGAGTTTGTGGTGATGCTCCTCCAACAGGGAGCCTCCGCACACACACCTGCCCCTGCCAGACTTGCGTGGGCAGGCAGCCTGCAGCCTCAGAGTCCCACTTTGGGCAGCCTCTGTCTACAGCCAGTGGCCCCTGCCAGCCCCGAGCCGGCTATCTGTGGACTTTCTGCTGTGCCAGGTGCTGATGCCTAGCCGATGTGGGACCAGCAGCAGTTAAAAACACACTGGCAGCCCTGCGAGTGGTGATTCTGGTGTCTGGAGAGCAGAACATGAACGTGCACCACCCTCAGGCCTCCGAGTATCCTGGCGCACCCCTGAGGAGGGGGCTCTCTGCCACCTGGACCTTAGGGAAGGGCCTCTGGACACCAGGGGGAATCTCTGCCATGAGCGCCTTGGACCCTGGGATGGCCTTCAGGTGGGTCCTGGGCAGGGACTGGTGACGGGTGGCACTGTCCAAGGCTGCAGTGCATCCTGGGCTGGCGGGATCCACCTTGTCTCCTGGCAATGCCCCGGGGCCGCTGCGGGTGTAGACTGCGGCTCCACTCCAGGCCCGGGGCCGCTGCAGGTGTAGACTGAGGCTCTGCTCCAGGCCCGGGGCCGCTGCGGGTGTAGACTGTGGCTCCACTCCAGGCCCTCTGGTCCTGGTTCTGCAAGGGCTGTGCCTGTGGACAGAGATGCTTTAGTCTACAGAGCAGGGGCATGCTTCATACTGAAGACGTTCACCCCCTTTTGTGACCCTCTGGGCCTCATGTGCAAAATCCCACCTTGTCCCAAAACGTACCAGTGATCAAATGTCTAGTCGGTTTTCATTTTAAGGTGTGCATGATCTGATCCTTTTTAACCTTGTTTTCTGAATCATCTCCACATGAAAAACCTAATATAAGGGTTTTGTGGGATGAGGACTTTGTGGTCCTATCACTGGCACGGGTTGGCGGGTGTGTTGTGGGCTGGCATCTTCCCCCGCCCTTGACACTGGGGGCTGAGCCTCACGATGCCCCTCCTCAAGGTCCAGTCTCCTCACCTGCCAAACCTAACTAAGTCTGTTATTGGTGCATCCCAGGTCTAGTCTGTAAGATGCCTGCACCGCCGGACGTCATTAACCATGT